GTTACTGGCATTTAAAATTCTTTTTAGCTACTGCCAAACCAGGAGATAAAACTGAAAATACATTGTACCCTTCTCTAATCTACGTGATCTTACAGTTCTTCTTTCTCGGACACCCTATTCAATCGATTTTTAACCATATATATTTGCAATATAGACGCAGTTAGTCAAGTTTTCTTAAAAATAAGGAGAAAACAGTTTAAAAAAACTATATTTTAGCAGAGCGTTTTGCAATACTACGAACTAATAGATCACGTTACATAACTTTGGTTTTCTCGATAGAGACAGAATGAGGTTGACACTTCAAAACCCTAGGCTATTGAACATACCCTTCCCATTTTATCCTTAATATTTCTATACTATAAAATTAGCAACTTTTAGAATGCTTTTAGATGGGGAAGTTAATTGACTTATTAACGGGCCTAAATAATAACGTAAAGTTGTTTACGTGATGTGACATGATATTAGTGATTTAAACTCTACTGCTTGATAATCATACAACTACCAGGCTTTGGATACCGTATACTAGGCCCATGAAAGGCTATTCGACGTCATCATTACAATGATATTCAAATGGGCAGTGAAATCTAGACATAATGGCACCATAAGAGAGATAAAAAGTCGGCCGTATATTCCGATTTCAGGCTACGGCAAACAGGAGACTGGCCGATCGTCAAGGTGGCTCGATTAAGACGATTTGACAGGTGCTGGCTGAGTAGCTTTCGTTGACGATGAAAATCTTTTCAGCTACATTTAGATGGAAGTGCTATCAAGCTTCAAAAAAATTCGAAAGAATAAAGCAGTCTGAAATACTTATGCCGATGTGGAAATCCATATTTGCAAAAAAAAATAAGTATTAGAGCTACAAAAAATTAGCGTTGAGAGAAAACCCTCGCTTGGCGATTACACGAAAAATTTTTGAGTGTTCAGTGCAGACTTAGGTAAACTAAAGAAGCAGAAACTAGCCGACTGACTATATTAATCGCGAATTGTCTTACCTGGTAGTAACAATTCCTCCTTTCCGAAATAATACTCTAGTACTCAAGTCATGGACACCGTCACGGTCATGGTTAGACAAAACGGTTTTTAAGAAGAAACGAAGAAATCATCAAATAAAACTGGTTCTCTAAACAAAAACGCTTTGTTCTAACATAAATTATGCTCTTCGTTAAGTGCTTATAACGTAAATCTCATCATAGATCTCAAGATAAAAAAGCTATGTAGCAATTCTTTCCCAGAAACGAATGAAACTTTCTTCACTCTAGCATTTTTCACACATGTAAGCCATCGATTCGCGGCATACTGCTCTTCCCTACAAATCTTGTTTCTAAATACCTAACATTTACGCTTCATACTAATGTTTAACACCGCTAGACGATTAAAGTTACGAGAAAATTCGGACACCGGTAGGCGAGGTGTTCTGCTGTCTCTGCATATCTCACCATTTAATCCAACTTTTCTTCAAGTCACAAGAACTTTTCATGATATAACTACCTGCCAAAAAACGAGTTATTTTTAAGTTTATTAAACATTAAAAGCGTCTTTATTGCCAGCTTTGAATCTTCTATTTCATAAGTTCCTTTAGAGGTCGAAATACAGCATATCTTAAGAGGAAGAAACCCGTACAAGCACGGTATTTAAATTTAATGAAGCTTTCAGTTTGTCTTCGAAAACCTTACATTTATGAAACTGTTTCAAACCCCATTCGTCAATCGCTACTACACATGTCGCTTGTACGGCAACTTTGCGCACTCAACGACGCGATGCGGCGATCAGTATGGCGCATCGGTCTAGTGTCAGTCGTCACGATTCCGCCCGTACGCTCTCCTCGAACCACCTGTTCACTACCACCCTCATTGATCGTTTACTATATCAGCAAACCTGTCAATTCGAATCATCGTTCACGACACTATCGTTTGGTCACACGCGAATTCTCTGCACAGTTCAAAAAGCATCACGTATGCTAGACGTGAATCTCTAAAAATAGAGATGATCATCGTTGACTTGCTGTGGTAGTAACCCATTAACAACCGAAGCTCTGTTAATAGTTTTTAGAGTATGTAAAATTACCGACGTTCATTAGTGCTAAATTTGACGTCATGGACCAAGCTTGTTACGACTAATCTACGGCGTATTTTGTGAGATCATCTTTAGATGCTTCATTTCCAAAAAGTGTGCAAGTCCTTATTAGAATCAGTTTTAGACTAATTCTAGAAAATTTCTAAAATGGCTATGTGATTTTATAGACAACAACTGTTTGGGAAATATCTATGTGATCGTTGAGAAATGACAGATAAAGAAAATTTTCCAAAATTTTATTCATCACGTGAAGACGGAGTTGAAAACTAGTTTCTCGAGCACCACTGGAAGGTGCTGAAGTAAGTGTTCTATCGGAGGGTGTGAATAGAGTTCACTGCTTTTTTTGATGTACTCAACATGCCATTAAACAAAAATTCAACACTAACATTTGTAATATTTATAAAATCACCAAATTTGCTATGCTTGACAACGAATAGACAAACAATATGACGTTGAAAACAAAAAGAAAACAAAAAAGATAATCAGGAAGAAAACCACTCTTCAGCAAGGATTTACATGATATGAGATGAGAGAAGTATACGTACACAGGACGATTCTCGTAACTAGAAAACAAAATGCAGGAAAAGATGGATGAAATGGTGATTCGAACCTTGTGTACCATAGAGAGATTCTCCAACATAACAGGATATGGTAGCACAGCTATGAAGGCGTCAAAAAAAAATTTTTCAAATTATTCATTTAACGAATAGTTGGATATATGACAACCGCAACAGAACAGGGAAGAACACACGAAAAGACACGTCTGTTGGCCGTATCCTCGACGCTTTTACACTCGAAACAGTTATTAGAATAACAAATTGCTATACCGTATTTACTCATCGCTAGCTGTTTAGACTGAGATATCCAGAAAGGCTTTAAGAACGAAGAAGCAAGGCCAGAATATCAAAACTAAATATTAAGACATATACTTCACTCTGTCCCGTAGAAACTGGATTTTTTTGAACTTCATCTGACTACCAGAGGTCTATGAGAAGCGACGAGAAAGGACGATAAAAGAATAAACACCTTACGCTTAGAATATGTTCGTAAACAGTAGAATGCTCGTTTGAGGTCATAAAGTTTTTAACGACCAGCATTACTGTTTAAAATAAAGCGATGCGTCGACTGATAGGGACAAGATGGTGTGCCTTAAGCTCAGATAAATAAAAGTGCGGAATAATTTTACGGCAGGGAGAAACACAGGGATAATAACGTGCTTCGCCAGCACATCATTGTCGCCAGTACTGGTCATGTTGCCCGTCTCCTAAATCATGCATAGACGGTTGACCAAGTGACGATTGATCTATACTGCTCAAAACAGCCGATACTGGTAATCCCATACTGGAGCCAAGACCTGTAATAACGGCAATTGTGTAGCGTTCACGTTGCACTCAATGCTAGAACTATTAGTTAACGATTCTGAAGTGTCAGAAATTTTATAAAAGCGTATTTACCCTCTTTACACTATAAACTAAACACTCAGAAAATGGAATTATTGTAAACACATCGTCACATATTAAATGATAGCATATTCAATTCACATTCGTTTCACAATGACTAAAATTCAATGGCGACACGTAGCTGCAATTTTAAAAATCCTAACTATAGATTGGTTAAAAATATATTCCGTTAGTAATTAATAGACATGCTGTAGGCAATCACTAGTAGGAAACCATGCGTTTAGCAACGCAACCCATTACATGCTTGCTTTGCTCGTGTGCACCTTTTGCTAACGATGTTACTCTTAACAGTGTAATACGTAGTGTTTCTCATTAACTAAACAGTATATTCTTTATCAAGCAACGAAAATGACAAGCAGTTGTGGGAATGGTGCGTATGTGGAGAGTGTATGGTCGCCCCCGATTTTATGGCAGTGAGCGCACGCCATCCAGCCACCAGATATGGCGAAATGCAGTGGGGTCTCGAGACAAAACTCGTTTGACGATCGCTATTCAAAAACACTTGTACCGCCTGAAGTAGCAATAAACCTACAACCGGCCATAGGAATAAATCTCGTTCACAAAGGAACTCTCAATGCGAACGAACGAACTTCACCACGATTGAGCGGTGTCATGAAAACGGTGGCATCCGCTTTTTTGTTTGCTTACTTGTACTCTGTGTGTATGTATATTTCTGTGTGCGTGTATGTATTTATATCCGACTACTTGTGTGTGTGTGTGTGTGTGTGTGTGTGTGTGTGTGTGTGTGTGCGTGCGTGCGCGTCTGTATGTGTGTGTGTACCTGTGTTTCTCCGGCATGTGCGCACGACTCGTGTGCATGTACGTCTCTGTGAGCATCTATTTGTGGTTCTCTGTGTATGCGTATGTATGCGTTGGTATGCCTATGTGTGTATATATATGTATGTATGCATGTGTGTGTATGCGTGTGGTGTATATATGTGTGTAAGCGTGTGCACAGATGCGTGTTTCTGCTTCCACAATTTGATGGAGTCATCAGAGTGAAAAGTGCTAGTAGTGACAGCAGACGAAAACATCAATATCGATGATTCAGTAGTATCATCAGCAACGGGTGGGGAGGGTTGATAAAGAAAATGTATTAGTGCTGTTTATGACATTACAAGAAAAACGGTAGCAAAAAGCGTTCTCAATCTTGTGGTTGGACAAGTGTCATCAAGCGTTAACGCCATTCGTTCTTGATCTCATTGCCCAGAAGAAAAATGTCTTGGTAGCGACGATATCTGAAGTGACAGCACCCAGCACCTGGCGCGACATACCGAGCGCCCCCTACCTATGCACAAAGCACGTAACTACGGTAGCGCCTGAGATACAAAACTGTAAGCGAGCACTTCACACAGAAAGGCACACATACACACATACACACGTATACATATACACACACTCATACACACCTGCATCCACACCCACATTCACACAAAACAATGGATTTTTTTGAATGAATTGTGGCTACGTACCTCCGACGGATGTCGTCGCTGGATTCATCGATGACTGGAATGACGGACCACCACTTGTGGGCATTGCTCTTGCGTACGGCTGCAGTAGACACTTCATAATAACAAGACACTTGATGTTCACAGTTAAAACCAATTAGGCAATAAACTCACATGGAATGCGTCATACGGTGATCGTGTACTTGCATTGAACATATGATGTGAACTAAAGTCAGCAGTCGGCTGATACGATGCCATTCCTAGACCAGCGTTGGCGAATCCAAATCTGCAACACGAAGTAGTAACGATGAAACAAAGTGAAGTGGTACGAACATCTCGAAAAGCAACTCTATCAAAGGACGATGATGACTTTTCGGACTATTACCTATAAAAACCGCGGCACATAACTTCTGCAATACCTTTATCTAACTGGTAAAACCTTTCTATTCTACAATGGCATTTTCCGAAAAAAGTTTAGAGAATGTTTTTCTCATTCTCAACCTAAGGCATTAAGCATTTCACTGGTGGTGACTACTTTGTTGGTTTCAATGCAGAATGTTTTAGTAGTCATGTAGACGGCTAGCTGAATATAATAATAATAGTTATAATACTGGTAATAATAATAATAATAATAAACGCTCACGCATATGGATCCATAGCTTGGGGTGCTAGACCGGTATACATTTGTCCGGCAGGTGATACGAAACTGGCGCTGACCGCCGTCGGGTTTGGTGGAAAACGACTGGCTGGAGGTGCTGGAGAGCCATCAATGGCGCTACCGGGTCCCGAACCCGTTGGTGTTGGTGTGCCGTTCGACATGGACGTATCCATTAGACCGCCGGGTCGCTTATTTCGCAACTTCTCTTCCCGCCTCCACTTTGCTCGTCGATTCGAAAACCAAACCTGTAAGGAACGATGATTTCGGACTCGCTATGATCTTTCTTCCGACAGTTGCTCATATACGGTAACGCAGCTAACGTTGTTGAATTCAGAACGCTTAATCAAGACAAACGACATCCTGGAACCGGAAATCTTAGCACGTGTCTAAACGTTGTAAAATGTGAGCACTTTCCATGTTTCCAGATTTTCACAGTACCGTCAATGATTTTGGCATCCTTTCTGTTAAATATCTAATTGTTTTCTTACACCAACAAGAGACGAAACACAATATTTGTCCTTTCATTACCTTGAACAATCTTTATACAGTTTGTAGTGCACATTTTCTTATGTGTTGTGCTTACTACTTATTTAGATGAACGTTTATAACAGTGGCACTAATCATGACGATCACGATACTGAAAAGGGCATACAAGGCAGGCCTGCTAAGAAACAGGTTGAAGAGGCTGGCGTTCGTTATCAGCATGAGTCTGAGTGACAGCGAGTCGCGCCACTCAACCCAACGTTGACAGCATAGACCCATAGCCAAGGTTGCCGGAAACTTACCATGCAACCTTTGCTGATGTGCGCAGCGTCATATTGCCATTGTTTCGATGAAACTTTTTTTCCTTTCTTTTTCACAGAAATTTCAAGAGGATTCCTTTTGAGTAAAATCATCAGAAACAGTACTGTCAAAAATGCAATATCGACAAAATCACAGACTTGCTCATGAGAAGTGAAGTATTCAAGACCGGTTATCTTTGTAACATCTGGCCACTTCAGAGTGCTTAACTGCTCCAATGTACACTTGTTCATTAGTTAAGTAAGTTTTGAAGGAACGTGAATGATTTTTGCTAGCTTGTGTAAGTAGAAAAAATCCATTTAAAGTCTTATCGCGTGATCATTCTATAACTTTGTTCCCAGTAATATATGATTTGCGCGAAAACATTCGGGCAAAACGTTGTACAAGCGTTATGGCCCATTATCGCTGAGGTCATACGCGAGAAATGCAGAAAAGGCAAAGACGGAACATCCTTACTCTAATCACGTCACTTCTCCTTAAAAGATAACTGTTGAAAAAATCAGATTTGGCTTCAAATATGCGGAATTTGGATATCATGTACAATTTAAGCAGCCATTCCAAGGATCCCTAAATGCTACCTGTATCCTTGCTTCAGGAAGGCCGATTTTTTGAGCAAGCCGCTCGCGAGCAAAAACGTCCGGATAATGAGTGCGCTCAAATTCTGAAAACCGTAATCTGAATTAGTGCTGAAGAAAAAGCAAGCAAGATAAGAATTGAGATAATTTGGAGGATATTTGCAGCACCAAGAGAATAGGACAATTGGGAGTCGGAATTTCGAGTGTATGTACTTTATCAGGTGAGATAAAACATATTAGTGGAATAAACCGAAATAGAGAGAAGAAGATGAAAATAATGGCGGGTACCGATACATTGCCCATGCACATGTTAAGAAACATCTTCAACAACAGACGCATTGTGGCAATATCGGATGACATTTTAAATGAAAAGTAGGAAAACTAGAAGAAAAAAAACCAGACAAGCTATGAAATAAACAGAATAATAAAAGGACCACCTTTTTCAAGTGCTTCGATCTGTTCCTGGCTGAAGGACGTGCGATTTCGTTGGAGCTTTCGCTTAAGTCGCATACGAGCAGCTGCATCCTCATCAGGATCATTCGGTGGCTTTTGATCGTCATCTAAAACACAAGAGCGCATTCAATGATACAACTGTTACGGTTTTCGAATCAATAAGAAATGTGTTTTATATTTTGTAACTGTATCTACGTTTATAGCTTTTTTCACGCATGTATACACGCTTTCATACACAACAGATAAATTCACATTTGCACGTATACATGTACATCATCTGCCGTATACACGTTTACGAATACATACAAACCACATACATATTTATGCTAGCCAAGTTAACTGACCAATAAGCACCCACAGTAACAAATACACGTGTACAAGCACTTCCTTCTAAGCAAGCGTATACTGCACACAGTAAACGACACTGTTTCAGAATATGATTAAGGTGGTTATAATGTTAGAAGCTTATTGTTTTTGATGATCTTCATTATGGCATAAGCCATTAGATTATCAGGAAATGAAGTGGCACGTCTTCCTCGCCGGAAGACCGATCTAAGCAGCTATTAGCGAATATGTGCGCTTCCTGTCAACATCACTCGACTAATGTAGTGTTATTCCAAGAACTTAATTCAATCAATTATCGGAAAGATCGTATACACACAATTTGTTTTACTTTTTCGCAACTCCTAATTCGATTACATTGCGTGCGATTTGCCTTTTGAAGTAACCAGCAAATATCTGTCAAACGCTGAAAACTAGGCAGATGGATGGAAGCAATAACCATTTTAATGGCATCAGTACAAGAACTAAAGATGGCAGTGTAGGTGCCGTAAAACCACCGCATGACGACACAACAGTTGAAGAGGAAGTGGAGCAACGGTGAAAAGAGAAACAAGCTTCGACTACCTTTTAAGGATCTAGTTCGTGTTGTTGACCTCCTTGTAGAAGGCTTTAGGGGCAACGTAGCGGCCGATATCATCTCTCGACAGAGACTGATAGCGTGGAGGCGGGTCGGGTAGGTTGGATGTCGGTGGTGGTGGTGCGCTAGTTGGAGATGGTGGTGGTTCGGGTAATGGTGATGTTGGTGGTGTTAGAGGTGTTGGTGATGGTGCTCGGCCGGCCGTCTCGTAAAACGGCGAACTAGTAAGTCGAACGCTCTCTGTAGGCAGTAAATACTCACGCTGAGTCACTTGCGGTCTTTAGAAAACAGAGAGACCATTTTGGTCACCTTCGTTGACATCTAAAATCCGTTTGGTAACTTGCGACTAAGGTAGACATAAGAGAAAATGATGGCTTATGGGTAGCACTATTCAAGTTGGGTTTTCATATGCAAAGTTTATGTGCATTCTGTGCCTTGTTTGTCGTAATATCTAACACTAAAAAAGCTTGATACTTGCCGATAAATGAAAATTTCACACAAGGCACACATATACGTCAAACTATCAGGAACTGTACTAGCAAAATTAATTTCAATGAAACATTTAGTAGAAATATATTCACCGAAGAGTGTGTTTTGAATTATTGTGGTAAGGTTAATAGTGTTTAAAAAAATGAAAAATGATTGGATTGCTTAACTCGAACTGAAAGGGACCTGTCACATCGCGGTACGTCGTCCGTCAGTGAATAGTGTGGGTCGGCATGGCGATGCATGATGTCGACAGCGATGGCTATGTAGCTTCACTTCCTTGCCACCGAACCAACTAACAGGCAAATTACAGATGGAAAAAGGAAGCTGGGACCACGAAGACGCCGGACAGAGTGTGGAAACACGCGCGTCCACTGTCACAAGCAATCTAGATCACTTGAGCAAAAACTGATGTGCGGCGCACGCGACGAGAGGAGAGAGAGAGAGGAACGAAAAGGAAACCGGCCGTGGAGTCCCGCCTACCACCGTAACCAGCCAACCAGAGACGAGATGCATAATTGGACAATGATTAACCTACACTTCAGACATCATCACAGTGCTGCGCGGTACTACTTTTGTTACTTCAACATAGCCAGGAGTAAGCTGAGCTGTTCCGAACTCCACATTTTAAAAACACTATTTTGTGGAACAGTAAAAAACTGAATAAATAGCAAGAATACAACGACATAGCCATTTAAGAATATAATAGGTATCCTTATACAGTGTCGAATCCCTTCTATCATCATGTTGATTCTCTATCAAGAGCTCAGTCATGCGAAAAATTGGTGCCGCGCGGCGATACTGTGTAATAAATAGAACAATACACCTGTCATCGATAAATTTATTTGCGAAAACGGATGATAAATCGTCTGTAAACCGCATTTCTTTTTTCGAAAAGTTGGAGAATATTGACACTGAGGATTCTTCTATAGGGACAAACCAGTGATAAAAAACGAACGTGATTTTTCAGGCAAAAATTCTTTAACACTACTTTTCGACGATAGCTTGAACGACGCTACTGGGCAATCAAAGCAGTTTTTACATGACTGCAATAAGTTTTTTAAGAAACAAGTAATGATGTACTTTTTTAAGGTCTGTCTGAAGAAAAAGACTAGCGCGAGTTCAACGTCTGCGACTAAAAATGTACTATCACTGGCCTTGTATTGCAATCCTAAATATAAAAGCTCTTATAATTTGGTTAATAGAGAACAGATAATTTTAACAAACCAAAAAGTTTTAAACTATTATTTTACTACTTGAAAGCTTCAACTTTTTCGCAGCAGTGAGAACTGTACTGAATCTTTTAAACAGATCACAATGATCACTTCGGGATCACAATGCGAATGTACCAAGAGAGAACATATAGGGAAATTTTTCTTCGTCACACACTTCATACAACTAGTAAACGATCGGATAGACTTCTTTAACTCCTTTTGTTAGCTACACTTAAAAATGAAATTTTTTGCTTTTACGCTTTCAATCTAAGAGATTCTAAGGGTAACTCTGCAAAAACGTTGCTTCTGATAGCTACAAGTAAGACCAATGTTAATCACTAAAGACTACCAAACGAAATTTTGCTTTTTGCATCTAAAACTAACTACAGATGGACGACGGCCAGATTTCTTCATTCTCAAGCAATAGTGGCGAAAACTGAGCGTTCACGTCGGCCAAATCTTCACAACGGGTGGTACCAGGGCGAGAAAATCAATATGCGCAATGATTGAGATCGATCAGAACAGTTTTAAGCGGATTCTAAATGGTATTTAAGTAAATTTTTACAATACAATGTATGATGTTTGTAAGAGTGCTTCTTAGCAACGTCATTGTTGTGTGAAACTGATAGGAAAGCAACTGCAAACGATTGAAACGCCTTCTCCACACGACCAACTGACCTATTCAAATTAGAACTGTCCAATTAGTAGTTGAGAAGAAAATGACCAAAGTAAGATGCAGATATTTGGCGTCTACCGTATTCCCTGTTCAAACTTGAACACTGAGTTTCGCGCAACCTTCACTTTGACTACTGTAGTGTAGTGAACCGGTTTTCGCCAACCATGTCTAATTGCCGAACTAATAATATTTGTCTTAAAGTCGATACAGAGTTTAGGAAGCATTGGCAATTAGGAATGTAGACAATAAAAATTGAATTACTGTCAAATGACCGCTACTGTATTTTAAAGAATGGAAATTGTAGTGGTAGAACTACAGAGAACATTGTTGTGCTGTTGATAACAGTATCACATCAGCTTAAAGCGTGGTGTACAAACCACAATTTAATAAGCCACGTATTGTGAAGAAATGGAAAGAACTTGTGAATCCCATAATCATGGTTTTTAATATACAACTTAAGCAACTTTACAAAAATTTCCGCTAAATTCGATAAAATGTGTTGCGGCAAGATCGCATGAACGAAGGAACGGAAGACTGAGGAATGGTGTTCACTTAAAAGGTTTCAGAAGTATATGTCGTTTGGTCGTACACAATGTGATATGAAATTTTATTTTCGGTCTTGAAATCTCTCAATCGGAAGAAATGCTAACAATAAAGGTTATTAAACAACTAATGCTTGTTGTAGGCTTAATGTTAACGTAGAATGGTGTTGACCAGCAGAAGAAAATATTCTAGAAAAAAAAAGTTTACTAAACAAATCAGCTACTTAATCCATGCCAAACTACCCACATATCTTAGCTAAGCGAATCTTCCCACAGCCATTACCATAACGAGTCCTAACTTAAGTTAAGAAGCATAAACAGTCCTAAGAAACAGTTATTAACCACTCTAGTTACGGATTTTGATCAATATGAACCTACACAAAAGGTTAAAGCACTAGATTTGAACTATGCTTTTGTTTCCTATCAAGAATGTCAAATAATTCGAAACGAAAAAAAGCTAACTCTGTAAGTTTACCGCGCTCATGGAGAAGATTCTGGCGTGAAGATGTCTAGTTGGTTTGAGACTTCAATAGATTGCTCGTGTTATAAAACTATTGAGATTATTGTAGAACATCCACGCGAAGCGATCAAGTGATTTGTTGACCGGCTAGCCGGCTAGCATACTAGCTCACTGATTGAACTAACTGACTGACTGACTGGCTGATGGACTAGTTGGTTGACTAGTTGGCTGGATGGATGGTTGGCTGGTTACATGTTGAGTAAGCGTGGGAAGGACGGTAATGTACCGGCGATAGTGTCAAGTTGCATCATGGGTCGCCGACTATCAGCCCATACATCGGCCATTTAACCGAGGATGAACGACGCGTACTCGCCGGCTATTAACCCAACAGCTGGCAGCATCTTGCACCTAACCCCGATTTTCCAATGAACTAAATCCTTCGCATCACCATGATCTAATTCGTAAACGACTACTTCGACGACAAAAAGATCATCAGATATCAAAAGCGACGACGACATGACGATGATGAGATTCGTAGCTTCGTCGACACTAACTACTACATTAAACGACATGATTTCATTTCAATCTCAGCCAGAACTAAACTCCAATTTTGTGAAACAACGCGTTCAGGTGAGACCTGTGATATTACGCGGCCAAGTCCACCTAAAACTCACTTCAAAAATTCTAGAACTCTGCAAGCAAAGAGCTTTTTTTCTGTATAACATAGCTAACACTCAATATAAAGCAAACCTACGTAAATCAGTCTGGGAAAATTGACAACGTTTTTTGATACTAATATTTTTTGAAGTTAAACTGCAACTTCCATTCC